TCTGAAAACCAACGGGAAAATTTTGACCGAAATTTAGGGGAGAAATTTCCTGATGAAAACCTTGCAAACATGGGAGATCCCAGAACGCATGCCGAATCCACAGATAGCTGGGGGATACTGAAGATAGAAAAGCCGAAATGAAAAATTTGATCCAGGGGGATATAATTGACATCTTTTGGCTTAACATAGTGGATATCACCTTTAAAATGTCGGCCAGGTCTGTAGGTCTGACAAAGCCAGAAATGACTTCCCCTTCCGCAGGGGACCAGGGACCAGATTTCTGGATGATTTTCCACCATACCCCAACCTGGAGGTAAAAATCAATGATGCTGTGCCACATCGGAATGAAGAAATATACATAAATATACTATATATAACTATATATAGATCTATATTAAGCATGTTTTCTCCAACCAAGCAGTACAGGTGCAAAAGATACACCAAAGATTCACTAAGTAATTACTTGCAATTGATTCCAGAAATGAAGCACAGCAACTACCCTGAATATCAAGGTTTAGTCTCTAGTGACTAAGACTAAGCAAAGAATAGATGCATTTTCAAAGAATCCAGGGCTCTCAGAAACATACGCTGCCACAGGGCGCATCAGAGAATCGGAGAAAACAATGAATTCATAGTACATAGCTAATGGAAATCCTTCAAGAAATATCGAATGATTGAATTGTCGGTAAATCGGCAATAAATTACAATTTCTCAGCCACACCACTGCATTTCCACTGGTTCCTAGCTTGCCCGGTGCCCATGCTACCTGTGGACAGAGGTGGTGCGAAGTACCTCGAGAACATACGGAACTCCAGGGGCCAAATATCATCAACAGAACTTGGAGGAACTTGGAGATATGAGCAAGTACTATATAGTACTATGAAAACATGAGGGTGTTACAAAAAATGGGTATGGGTGTATAGCCAAATGGAAATCTTAGGATCTGTTAGCGACTAAACCCAACAAATGGTTATCCTTTAAGTTTAGACCAATTTTTTTCGAACCTTTGTTCCAGGCAGAACGCTGAATGACAACATGAAAAGACTCTACTTAGTAGGGCTTCATAGTACAGATGCACTTGAAATTTTGGTCCTCAGTTAGAATGGGTTTTTAAATATATACTCGAAACTCGTACCCTTGTGTTATTCAACTGATCTTGTGGACCTGATAACTGGTATGGTAGGGTCCATCCGAAGCCGGCGAACTTGTTTCGAGACGCATGTGGCTGCCCATCCGCCTGGTCGAAAACCTGTATGTATGTATGTATGGATGGATGGATGGATGGATGGATGTATGGATGGACATGCATGCATGCATGCATGTATGTATGTATGTATGTATACGAACGTACGTACGTATGTGTACGTATGTACGTACGTATGTATGTGTACGTATGTACGTACGTATGTACGTATGTACGTACG